ACTTTATATTTTTATACTTTGCCAGTGACATTGTGATGTTGGTTTTACAGGCCCTAATCCTTCATGTGGATGATAATCAAAAGCTGCAGTCCGGTCCATTTTAAGAGTTATGCTGCGTTCACACCGAACGGGATTTCAGCTTCAATATCGCATCCAATGCTTCAAGTTTGAAGCTTGTGCACTTTGAGGTCAGACGCAGGACAGCTCTTGAAACGCTTCACCTCAAGAGCCTCCCCGCCCCTCCCTCCTCTGTCGGGCTCTGTTTAATGTCAGATGAGGAAGTGCTTTGCTTTATTTACAGAGAGCAAGAGCATGTCACGTTCATCAGATAATTAATTCATAATTAATTCACCAGATAATTCAGAGACATTCTGAGTTTCATCACCCAGGAGCTGCGGGAGAGGCTCACAGCTCGCTTTCAGGACTACTTTTGTCCCGAGTCCAGTCTGATGAGCCGCTGCCACGCATTGGTGAGGATATCTCCTGTCAGGACACYRACTRCRGGYRCTCGATTTCAGCTAAAGAGCTCCTCTCCATCTGTTTCAGGTTAGTGGACATCATTCAGTAAACTGTCCCGTCGGGAAATATGTCGCTACGTCCACCATAGACTTTGCATGTAAACCTGATGCTCCTGATGCTGAAATCGCGTTTGGTGTGAACGCACCATAAGAGTGAGGACTGATATTTGACGAGCTTTATCTGAGCCTCACCCTGGCCTGACTGATCATCTGCTGCTCCGAGTCTTTCTGGATGATGGCTTTCTTCACCACTGTTGATAACACAAAGGGAAACTGGCAAAAAGAAAACCTGAAAAAGAAAAAGAATGAGTTGGTTATCATGTATTTCAACAAGAAAAAAATAAACCTTGATCACCTCAAAAATGGGTTATTCCAACAGACAGAAAATAAAATCTACATAATCCCACCCTCATGAGCTAATTCCCAATAACACCAACCAGACAGTTGTTTCCCCCCCGAAGCAAGTCTTTCCAACTAAAAACTCTGCATCCATTTCCTCCGTCGTATGTTAATGAGCCATGGCTCAGCGTGACACAGACTTCATGGTGTTTCCACGGCTCTGGATCAACTACAGCTGTGGGAACGTTTCCTCATCTCTGCTCCATTCAAATCTGACTTCCAGGAATCTTTGGAACAAAGCCATCAGTGTCCATCATGTAGCAACTAATCATTTGCTGTCACACAGTTAAGGATGTTTGAAAGCTAATTTATTTGTATTTACTTTAGATTTTTAGAGGACTTGACAAACAGAAGCACTTTCCACTGGGAGGGACAAGTAAGCAATTTGACTGCAGAGTAATGAGTGAAATAAATATTTGACCTCCTGTGGATTTTATAACTTTGCCTACTTACAAAGAAATGAGCAGTCTCTATGTTTTGTAATGGTTTCATAATAAAGGAGAGAGAGAATATTACTGTAACCAAAAATAATTTATAAAAAGCACATTCACTGTATATAAAAGTCTCAGATGAATTTGTAAAATAAAATAATAAAAAATGTCCCTAACACATTTTTCATTATTTAGCTTACTTACTTAGCATGTTAAAGATTTTCCACTAACATTTTATTATTATTTAGCTCAATGTGTTGTTAATTTTTACTAAATGTTAAATTTCAATGTTAAAAAGTATATACGTAAATACTAACTCCTAAATCTAAATGTTTAAATCTGTAAAAGTTAAACAAAATGTAAAAGTTAAATCTTAAATATTACAGTTTACATTTAGGTATGTTGGAATGGAACACAGCCTTTGCTGTTGGCGCTCGGCTCATGTTAGACATCATCATCCTGAGACAATAGCAACCGCTAGCTCTTTAATGTAGCTAAAGCTTCCTTACAAGGCCAGTGTCAGAGCTACACTTCAAACTGCTGGACCACAGGTACCACACTTATTGTTTTCAAAGAACACATTCACTCACTCATTTAGATTTTAAATATTATCTTCAGCAGCGTTACAAACATTAGGTTAGAGTTAGCTAACCAGGATAATGACATCATCGTGCTAGCCGATGCTACCCTCTTCAGCTCTCTCTATAGATATTCTGCAGGACTGAGATCTGAAGACTGGCTAAGGTAAGGTTAAAATTGATTTTTATTGCACTTTTCAGCAGCAAGGCGATACAAAGTGCTAAGCCACCCCATAGCTGAGTCCCAATTCAGGGGCTGCAGCCTACCTAGACTGCAGCCTTCGGATAGCATATCTTTGCATGACAACGCGCTACCTTGTTTCCATAATGATACACTTAATATCACAGGCCTTCAGACTTAAAATGCATTGGGACTCAACTTTTCACTGGAGACATAAGTTCACAGTTAATAACGTTACACATAAATAAACAGAAACACAGTGATACTTTGGGTTTAGCTCGAGTATCAGAGTATCAGTACTTGTAACTGCATTTTATTTAAAGTAGACATATGATGCTTTTAAATCCTTTTTTCACATTTTCATATAATTTGGGGCCAATATAAAGTAAAACTGCACTGCTTTGGTCTGAATGCCTCCTTACTGTAACTCCACAAGCCCCTCATTCACCACTTTTCTGAGGTGTGTGTCAAATCTTGTTTTGAGGCTGCCTTGTTAAATCCAAATGAGACACTTCACACACACACACACACACACACACACACACACACACTCACGCACACACACACAC